CTAATCCCTGGCAACCACTGGTCTTTTTATTGTCTGCATAGTTTTCCTCTTCCAGAATGTCCTATCTTGGGTGTCAAACAGAATGCAGCCTTTCCAGATTAGCTTCTTTCACTTTGCAGTATGCATGTAGGGCCCCTGGGTAGCTCAGTGGATTAACCATCTGCCTTCAGCTCAGCTCATCATCCCAGAGTCCTGAGATCGAGTCCCAAGTTGCGGGGGGCGGAAATCTCTGCTCAGCAGGGAGCCTGCTTCTCGCTTCCCTCTGCCTGCTGCTCCCCCTGCTTGTGCTTGCTCTCTCTGTCAAATAAACAAATAAAATCTTAAAAAAAAAAAAGAGGAAAATACACCCGTACATTTCCTCCATGTCTTTCCATGGCTTGATAGCTCACTTTTCAGCACTGAATAAGATTCCCTTGTGTCAAGGGTTTGAAGAGGTGGGGGGGGTGGGAGGTTGGGGGAACCAGGTAGTGGGTATTAGAGAGGACACGGACTGCATGGAGCACTGGGTGTGGTACAAAAACAATGAATACTGTTACGCTGAAAATAAATTTAAAAAAACGATTAAAAAAATTCTAAAAAAAAAAAAGATTCCCTTGTGTGGCTGTACCATATTTTACTTACCCTTTTTTCTACTGAAGGATGTCTTGGTTGCTTTCATGTTTTGGCAATTATGAATAAAGGTGCTATAAACATTTGTGTGTTGATTTCAATTCTTTTTGATAAATACTCAGAAGTGGGATTACTGGATCATATGGTAGTTCTATTTTATACTTTTTGAAGAACTTCTATACTGTTTTCCATGGTTACAGCATTGTGCATTGCCTCCAACAGTGAACAAGTGTTCCAATCTCTTCACATCCTCGACCACATCTGCATTTTGTGTTTTTGAAAATATCATTCAATTTTTTTTTATCTTTAAAGTACGGATGGTACCAGGGAATTTATTGTAAATGTAGAGGCAAATACATTGAGATAGTCATCATTAAAAAGGAACTAGAAAATTACACATTTAAAGTATTTGCTTTTTATCTGCCACCTTCAATTTGTGGCTAGTACCAACATTTTATTTTATATTTTACTTTTAAACTATTTAAATTCAATTAATTAACATATAATGTATCATTAGTTTCAGAGGTACAGGTCAGTGATTCATCAGTCTTATATAACACCCAGTGCTCATTACATCATGTGGCTTCTTTGATGGCTGTCACCCAGTTACCCCATCTCTCCACCCCACTCTCCTCCAGCAACCCTCAGTTTGTTTTCTATGATTATAAGTCTCTTATGGTTTGTCTCCCTCTCTGACTTCATCTTGTTTTATCTTTTCCTCTCTTCCCTGATGATTCTTTGCCTTGTCTCTTATATTCCTCATATCAGTGAGATCATAAGATAATTGTCTTTCTCTGATTGACTTATTTCATTTAGCATAATACCTTCTAGTTCCAACCATGTCGTTGCAAATGGCAAGATTTCAAAATTTTTTTTTCTTCAAAGATTTATTTTTTTATTTGACAGAGAGAGATCACAAGTAGGCAGAGAGGCAGGCAGAGAGAGAGGAGGAAGCAGGCTCCTGCTTAGCAGAGAGCCCAATGCAGGGCTTGATCCCAGGACCCTGAGATCATGATCTGAGCCGACGGCAGAGGTTTAACCCACTGAGCCACCCAGGTGCCCCAAGATTTCAAATTTTTTGATGGCTGTGTAATATTCCATTGTTTATATGGTCAATAGTTTTAAGTTTTGATTTCTTTCCTTTTTGATTTCTTTTATCTATGTTTTGATTACTGATATATTTGAACTTATTTATAATATTTTGATTTTGCTCCATATGCTTTTGCTTCTTTCTTCTCTTTCCTTTTTTGTTGCACTGATAGAATTTTCTCTTTTTTTTTTCCTGCTGATTTGGGAAAAGTAAAGTACCTTTCTGTTTCATTGACAATATCCTCAAACTGTTTGTGTGTGTACATGTGCAAGTGTGTACATTTTTTCTCTGTCTAATTTTATTCTGTAATATGTTTTCCTTGTATATACCGTGGCTTCTCCTTGGGTGTGCTTTTTCTCTTGCTGATTTAGTATATTTAGAAAACCTCAGTGCCTGATTGAAGCAAACTATACACTATCTCTATATCAGGACAGAATTTCAGAAAGAGTTTATCAAATGAGCTGATAAACTCCAGTTTTAATGCACATTAAGAAAAAACATAGAAAATGAAAATCTTCCAACACAATAATCAGAACATGAATTCTCTTCATTCTTCTTCAAGCCCTTTGTCCCTGACTTTCCTCCACACGGAGTAATTTTCACCTGCCAGCCTCAGGGCTTATTCCTTGATTTCCTCCTATTCTCTGTTCCTAGAAAAACATGTGCTCATGTGAGGAATGCTTATAAAGTTTATTGTAGTGTAGTATTTCCTAGGTTAAATAAGTTGTCTTAGCCTTTATTCAATAGAGGAAAGGATGTATAAATGGAAGTATATCCACAATATAGAATATAAAGGAACAAAGGATGTATATGGGTTAATATAATAAGACCTACAAGATTTACTATTGAGGTTATAAACAAGAAATGTATACCCCAAATATATATTTATATTAAATACAGTCTAAATAAAATGCTGTATATTTTCTGTTGATTCAAATCTAGTAAAACATCTGGAAGCATCAACCCCAAATTGCCAAGATGAACAAAGAAATAAGGTAATAAGTGATGAAAGGGGCAGAATTGAGAGTGGTAGTGAAAAAGGATTTTACACTATGGGTAATGTTTTATTACTTTTAATAATTCACATATTCACAAATTTCTCGTATTGTAAAAGTAATGAGAATCATAAAGGCCATCAGAAAGGCTCATCTGTATTCTCCTCCCTTCTTGTCACCAACAAGAGGAAAGGAGAGATAACCACCTTTTAAACAACATTATGTCCATCGACCTAAACTATACATATTTCTCTGGGGTCACATAGTTTTTAGTTTTCACTTCACTTAGTGTCCTATTCTTTGACTCTATTATAATTATATATATTTTTGTCTTCCCCTGTTGATGTAAACTTGTATGTGTTCCTCTTTTGTATATTTTATTTATATATGTATTGTTTTAATTTTATTTCCGGTAGTGAACATACAACATTATATTAGTTTCAGGTGTATATATAGTGATGCAAAACCTCCACAGATCACCCGTGCTCATCAGGAAAAGGGCACTCCTTCATCCCCTCACCTATTGAACCCATCTCCCAACCCTATCCATCTGGTAACCATCAGTTAGTTCTGTTTAATTGAGTTGTATAATTGATTTATTTTTGTCTTATTTTTCCCCCTTGCTTGTTTGGTTTGTTTCTTAAATTCCACTAGAGTGACATCACATGGTAGTTGTCTTTCTCTGACTGACTTATTTCCCTCAGAGTTATATTCTCTAGCTCCATCCACGCCATTGCAAATGGCAGAATTTCATTTTTTTATGGCTGAAGAATATTCTATTACACTTTGTATATTCTGAGCATCTAGGAAATTACTCCTTTGAAAATGCTCCATGAATACTTGTTGATTTCTTCTGAACTCAGGTAAAGAAATAAAATAAATAGCACAAGATGAAATTTACCAAATTATTTTCTGATCTCAATCTCCATGCAATTCCATTTTAAAACTAGCATTTGGTTTACCTGTAATCCCCACTCAAATTAAGCAGTTATCTTCTTTTCTGACCATCTGCATTTCCTTCACCAAGAACACTGGAATGAATGGGTCTGGAGATTGCTGAGTGGCTCCTTCTAAGTGGTCTTTGCCACCAGCTTCATCTTCTAGGGGACACTCTAGACCTTAGGAGAAACAAAGACCGTGTTGGTACAGAGAACAGAAATCATGTGAGCCAGTCCACTTATAGATAGCAGTGCACTTATAGATAGGGAAGAGAGAGGACAGGGTTTTTTGTTTGTTTGTTTGTTTGTTTTGGTAAAAACCCTCTGAGGTTTTCAGTTCTGCCATTGCTTATCAACTTCAGACATCTGGAGGCCATGTCTCTAGAAATCTATTATGCAGATAATTCTTCACAGGTACCAGGATAGGAATATTTCTGGGCATTGTGAGTATGGAAACTCAATAGAAAATATTCCATTTTCTGCTGTCAATTGTTATGAATAAAATCGGCCAAATTTACTGGCTTTGAAACTATTTCAATACCCACATATCCTACCTTTTCATGTGCTGAGAGTGGAGGGAAACAAAAATGAAGGGAAGAGAGGAAACAATAAGGAACAAAAAGAAAAGGAAAGGGAGAGGACAATATTGACTTTGGCCAGCAATGTGTGGCTGTTCAGACTGTGCTCTGTAGGTGAGCATGGTGTCTATCAGTAGTACAGGAGAGTTGGAGAGGTGGAAATTATATCAGAGAGGACATTAAGCACCACATCCTATCTTTCACTGACCACATTCTGGTAGGAATCATTTTCTTTACAGATGGTGACTGTCTGTCTTGGTTTCTAGAACTCTTTTGATAAATTGTATTTACTTCTGCAATACTGAGTGGATGCTATCAGATAGTTTTCCTTTATCAGCATTTTTACATAACTGAATGCTCACATTGTCTGTCAAACTATGCAGTTTGGGGAATGGAGTCATTCTTCCTTATGATTCTTCAAGGTTCTGGTTATCCCATAGGATCTGCGTCTTCTAGAAGAATCATTCACCTTTCTTCACACACTAACCCGCACTTTTCTTACATAAAGTGCTTTAAGAAAAAAATAAAAAACCTTACATCCTCCTATATTGGAAATATTCCTCCTACCTGCCTGCACTGCCCTCAAGCACAGTTTGGGAGTGATTCCTGTGCAGTGTTATTGGGCCACTGTGGGCGGAGTCTCAAGTTCTGTGAATGACAGGGCTGAGGTGTGATTGGTGCTCAGTGATTCTGGTGGAAAGAATTGACTGTAAGAACACAATTCCTCTGGACCCAAGACTACACTCTACACAGTAGGGGTGAAGGCACCTCATTAACTAGACAAGGAATTATGAGGAGACACTGGGGAGCTCTGCTGGGAATCCTGTGGCTCCAGGTTTACTGTGAGTGGGGACGTTCCAGATGGAGGCTGGGAAGTGGTCCACAACCCACAGTGATGCGAGGAGCTGACACTGAGCTCCTAGAGTCCTATATCCTCAAGGGTGTGTCTTAGGATATTTTACACATTTTCAAACTGCATCAGTGACTCTCCAGTGACATCATTTGTGTTTGTTTTCTTCTTTCCACACAGGGGTGAGAGGGATGACGGTGGAGCAGAGCCCTTCAGTCCTGAACCTCCAGGAGGGAGCCAGCTCTATTCTGAAGTGCAATTTTTCTAGCAGTCCATACAGTATGCAGTGGTTCCGACAGCACCCCAGGGGCAGCAGCCTCATCCGGCTGTTTTACATAGCTTCAGGGATGCAGCTCAGTGGGAGATTAAACTGCACAGTGAATACTAAGGAGCAGTCCAGCACCCTCCACATCACAGCTTCCCAACTGGAAGACTCAGCCACCTACCTGTGTGCGGGGGAGGTACAGTGCTCTCTGGTGATCTGCAGCCTGCACCCAAACTGCAGCTGGGCCTGCAGACCCGCCCTTCCTCGGGGCGGGCTCTTGCTCCCATGCAGCCTTTGCACATTTTCGGATTTATGTAACAGTGTCTTTTCCCTCCTAAAATTAGACCTACCAGTGCTCTCATTTCACTTGTTTTTCTTGCTCTTTTTCTTCCAAAAAGCTCTTTGCAGGTAAAAAAAGCTCTACCATGGAACCTTTGGAGCAAGTGACAGAGATGCCCATATCCAGTACCCTGGGAAGACAGATGTCCTTGCAGCTACCATATAAATTATATATAAATTACTTAAATGGAAAACCCTCAAAAAAATAAATGGTCATGAACAAACAAAAGACTTGACATAATTTTTAAGTTTTCTGTAGGTTATTTTTCAGTGAAATGTAAAGAGACCATGTAGAATGTTTTTACAAGTCTATTCAGCTTTTTTTTTTTTTACAACTGGAAATAGAAATGTAACAAAATAATTCCTTAGAGGGTCACTCACTCTACTTATCTTATTACATTTATTTTCTTTATCAGTAAGATAAGACCCTATAAATAGTACTTTCATTTTATGCATGAATAAAGGGAGGATTTTAGAGCACAAGTGACTTGGTGGAACTCATATTATTCCAAAGTTGGTGAATCTGAGGTGACACAAATGCTTATCCTCTGAGTACCGATACAGAAGACCCTACAGAATCACAAAATCTCAATGATTTCTATTGATCAATTTGTACAATATGTTATCACACCACTGACGGAAATCGCCATTTAAGTCATTTCTAAATAGCACCTTTTGTGGTCAAGCTCATGGAAATATTCATTCTGTTCCATGAATATCATTGCTCTTCCTTTCGTTTTGAATGAATCTTTTTTCATGATCTTGCAGCATCATTCCCAGTTTGGAAAAGGGAGCAGAAATCCTCCAGGACAACAATAAAAGAACCCTTCTCGTTGTCACCATGGACAAAGACTGTTGACCCCAACCCCAAAGTTGAAACTTGCATGTGGAAGATTCCAGCACATACTGAGTTCCAGCCTGCACTGATTTTTATGTTGATGAAAGGGCATTGATAGGAAGGCCTGTGCCCCTGAAAATTCAGATGAAGGTAAGTGGTCAGACTACTAGAAGCTAGGAGCAGAGTCAGCTTCTGGATCATGGGACCTGTGCAGTTACACAGCCTCCAACTCTCCCAAGGTGGTTAAATGTTGTGCTCTTGTTGTCTTGAAACTAATACTAGTTTTATCTTTGTACCTGACTTTTAAAAATGAGTTCCATAAGTAGGAAGGACAAGTGCCTGAGCAGAGATATATGTAGGCAGCAGGACTCAGGCAGGAACACATGCAGACTCAGGTTCTGGTTCACAGCAGGCTGTGTGTGAGCTGACAGTTGGCAGGGCCACCTGTGGTGTCTGTGCCTGCTTTGGACTAGCTGGGGCTTTGACATGCAGCCAAGGGTGAAGTAAGTATTGTTGGGAAATTACTACAAATTGAAAGTGTATATTTGGACATTTGAAAAAGGCAGTTTGGCAGTTTTTTAAGACCTAAACATACTCTTATCATATTGTCCAGCAATGGCCTTCCGTTGTATTTATCCAAAGGGTTTGAAAAGTTATGTGTACACACAGACTTGTACACAGGTTATTATAAAAGTTTTATTCATAATTACCAACCTTGGAAGTAAGCAACATGTCTTTCAATAAGTGAATGAATAAGTAAATTATGGTACATCCAAACAATGGAATATGATTTGGTGCAAGAAAGAAATGAGGTATGAAGCCATGAAGAGATAGGCGAAAATTGTATGCATTTTACTAAGTAAAAACAACCCATCTGAAAAGGCTACAAGGTATGATTTAGACTCTATGGCTTTCTGGAAAAGGCAAAACTCTGGAGGGAGTAAAATATTGTTGTTGCCAAGGGTTGAGGAGGACAAGAGGTATCAGTATAGCTCAGAGCACGTTTAATGTAATGACTTACTCTCTATGATACTGCAATGGTGGATACATATTTTACACATTTGTTCAAACCCATAGAACCTACAACAGCAAGAATGAACTCTAGATAAACTGTGGGCTTTGGGTCACATGATGTGGCAGCATAGGGTCTTCCACTGTGTAAATGTCATAGGAAAGGTGATAATGGGAAGGTGATGGGGTCGGAAGGTATACAGGATACCTCAGCACAATGTCCTCCTTTTTCTTTGAACCTGGTTGTGACCTGGTTTGAACCTTTCAACCACAAGATGGTTGAAAAGAAGAAAATCTTTAAAAAATTAAATTGGGAGACATGAAAATAATATGAATGAAGAGTTAAAGCATTTTAGATAAATGATTCCCCTAGAAACATTACCTAATGATATATTTTAACCTAATTTTTGAATTATGTTCCCAAGTTTTCATTTTGAGATGATCTCAAAAATTGTAGAGGCATCCCTGGTTGGAAATTTTGAAACTCTGAACTAAGGATTCAAAGAGAAAGCCAGAATCCATGAAACAATTAGGCTGTTTTAAAAAGTGCATCTCACTTTCTATATTAGTCAGCTCATCCACCTCCCCTAGGTTGTCTCAACTGCAGAGATTCTTTCTTTTTTCATACAGTACATAAGTTATATGTAAAAGATATTTATAAGAAATTGAAATTCCAAAAGAACTTCCTGCTTACCCATGGCTTGGTCATAGTGCACCCTCATCTCAGTGTCTGTAAAGGACTCCACTCAGAGAATAAATTCCCATTTTATTCAATGTTAATTTGGATTTATTTCTCCTTGATACATTAGTGATCTCAGAGAAGAAAAGAAAACCCAGATAGTGATCTCAGAGAAGAAACGAAAACCCAGGTAGGATCTCATCTCATCTCATCCTGCTGAAGAGGCCTCATGGTGAGTTAGAATCAACCTCAGACCCACTAGATCACATGTGGTTATGAAAATGGCCCTGGGGTTCCATGATGCACACAATTTCACTCAATCTGACACCAGTCCACATTGCATACAACCAGTCATCAATAAATATTTACTTCGTAATATAGCATAGAAGAAATTAAGAGCTAGAAGGGCCCTTAGAATTTCTTGAGTCCAAGTTCATTTTACACATCTTGACTATTTCCAAGATGACTGTATGGAAAAATTAGGTAGTGAATGAGCTGAGGAGAAAGACACTGGGTTTCTTAATTTCCTCTTTAGCATTGTTCCCCTACCTCCTTCCTGTAGGACCATCGTGCTGAGTAAAGAGAAAGTGTCTAATGCAATCCCAGGCATTTATCTCTGTGGTTTGGGTCTGAGAAAGTTGTGGTCCAGTCAGTTTGAAATCCTGAATGGAGAGTTCTAATTTGTGTAAATGTCTGAGACCTTGGGCAGGAAGGGAGACTCAGGCTGAGCCACCATGATTTTACCAGAAAACTCATGCATCACTCACTGTTTTTATAAGAGTAAGCCAAAGGTGATGGCACCATGTGAACACCTACATGTATTTCTAAGAACTTACCTTTAAAAACAAAACAAATATATTTAATATGCCAGTTGGGCATCCCTTGAAGGCATGATGAGCATAATGTACATAACTTACACATTGTCTGCTAAAAGATCACTGGAATTGGAAGACTTTTGCAGCTGGCAGTCCATGAAGATGGTAGATGAAGGTTTTCTAGGCCAACACTAGGAACATACTAAAACAAGAGTCTATGAAATAACCAAGGAGTTGGAAATTTTGCATAAGGGATTGTCTTATGTGTGCAATAGTGGATAAATGGAAAAGTGTTATTACAAAGAAGGGTCATATTCACACCATTACATTCAGTTCTAATAGTCATGCCTAAAAAGTGTAAATATGAACCTAAATAATCTATGTTGGAGAAGAGGGAAATTTACCCGGAGAAGTGTGAGAATTCTTACTTTATGGAGAATGGGTGAAAGAATGGAAGATTCTCAGAACCAAGAAGTTTTCCATACATAAAAACACATTTCATATATACACTTATATTAATATATTGAGTTGATGTTCTGATAGCTGTCTTTAAATCTTTCAGGGTAGAACAGGTAAAAGGAAGATGAGTTGTATTCTTTGTCATTTGAGAGGCTCCATGAGTAAGAATCATAGGAAAGGGGATTCCATTTTTGGAAATGAGGTAGTCTTGGTATCTCAGAGACCATTTCTCTTGATCAGTTCTTTAGGACCAGTTTCCTGTTGGTACCATCCCCCAGCACACACAATATTTATGGTTTCCTGAATTTTTTCTCACAGAGGTCATCGGAAGATTCAAAAAAATTCATATGAATGAGAAAGGGGTTTTGGAAGAGAGAGATAATTCTGGAAACTCACAGGACTAGAGTACTTTATTAATGAGTCCTGGGGAAAGTACACTGTATTGGAGTTTAGAAGAAATATAATGGAGTATGGAATGTGGAGCAGTACTGGCCAGGAAGTGGGAAGCATGGCAGGATAGATGGCTAATACTTTAGAGGAATTTCTCCTTAGGCTGTGAGTCAGTAATTGCGTTGGAGGACATGCTGTATATTTTGATTTGAGAAAAGGAAATCACCTCAAGGATAAACTTACATGTGGTTATATTTTCCAAGTTTGCAGCTTGATGTTTTCTCAGAATTTCTATTGGGATTCTTCTAAATCTACTGTCTGATATCTCTATATAAATATTAGCACAATATTAGGTCAAAAGTTTCCTATAGTTGAAATAGGAACAACAGTTGGAAGTTATCCCTGCTCCCTTATCATTTAGATTTGGTCCTTTACTTTTTGTCATAGTCATCTTAACTGAAGGGATAGTCCCCATTTTGACTGTTGGTACTGTCAATTCTCTTGAAAAAACTAGGTTAGGCAAGACCATCCAGGAGGAGCAGAGCCTGAGATCAGAAGCATTTGAAATATCAAATGATCTTCTCTCTCTTACTGTAATCTTTGGCTACGTTTTCCTTTTACAAAAGAGTTTTCTCTGTAATAGACAATTGAGGACAATGGATTTG